CAGCTCCCTAGTTCTTGCTCAGTGTGGCATAGCACGGCCGGCAGAAAATATGAGTTCCACTCGGAACGTCACGGCTCAGTTTGCAGTGACTCATTCTTCCTTTGCAATGCGATTTCTCTGTTCTCTTTCTAACGACCTCTGCGTACCGTGCTCCTTCTTGTTACTCATTAATTTCTACAATTATTAATTATTTCTTCAGAATTAAAGAAATACCTTGCGTTGTTTCTCATTGCTATTTAGTCCAAGACGCGCTATTAAGCTGAGTTCTCGTTTGATTACATTGCCAGCACTGTAGCCGTGACGTAACCCGAACCCGCCTCTCTCCGCTGTGGAGTATCAAGAAAAGGTGCGCGTATAGTAGTTGTATTGAGTGGTATACTTCATTTTTTATATTTCATGTGTCATTAAGGTTTGATTTTTAATCACATTCACAAACGATGCAAAATGAAAGGATTATATGTTATTTATTCAAGGAGAAAAACGGGAAAAACCCAATTCGACATACAAAATGGAGCTGATTTTTATGTCTAGAACGCACGGTTACTATTTGCAATTATTGTAAATAAATACATTTTCATGTTCGATAGAAAGATTTGGTCTGATGCTGGCGCCGGTTAACCGCTTAACCACGTCCGGTTAAGTCGCGGAGGTTAAGCAGCTCGAAACACCGAGGGATGGATGGATGACCATCCGGAAAACCTGAATACTATGGGGTGCCGAGCCCCATGGGGGAAAACGCACTAACATTATGACAAAATGGCTTTGTTCAAGGAGAATTACTCTGTGTTTAAAGCCAAATAAAGGGTTGAAAGAATTAATGAGAATTATGAGAGTAAAAAACGATAATATTTCTAATCTTGGAATGGTGGTCACGTTTGTTGAGGCATTCCAGCTAGAATTTCATTGACACAGCGCTTCATTCGGTCCTGGTCATGAAACTCGATTCTTTCCCTGGCGCTTGGTCTTTTTACAGCTAAAGAAGCTGACAAAGAAATCTAACAAGCGTAGTTACCAATAAAATTATCACAAACACGTTAACAAATGCACCGTGTTCTACTCCAAGAGAATTAAAGGCATGATTTTGCCAAATGAAAGGAGGATTTGCATTGAACATTGAAGTTGGAATCCTAGAACGGCCACTGATCTTTGTAAACCAGTTCCGGTCTGGCGCGAACTCGAAAAGGACACAAAACTCGAAGGGTCGCAATTCTGGCCCTTTATCAATGAAAAATATTGTATTAAAATATGTTTCTCCTAATTTTTTGTCGGCAATACGTAGGTTAAGAATAAGTACTGGATTCGGTCAAAACAATCGAGGGATATTTTTGGGGTAAAATCCATTTTGAGAATCCGTGGGCAGAAAAAGTGTTATACATTTATCCTGTACGGATGCACCAGTATGGATGGATGTGCGAATGGATGGCCGGGTGGATGGCAGGACGGATGGACGGACAAGCACCCGCTTCCATCCATCCGTCATTGGTGTGTGTCATAACTCGAGCAGATCAAACGCTTTTGAGCTCTGACTTGGTTCACGTGGATGAAGTAAAGACTATTAGTGTCATTCCAGTCATATTTAAGAAATTTTAATTTTGGGAGTACTTTATACAAGAGCCCGTAGGGAATTTTCATTTTTTTCAATAGTGGCTCCAATTCAAAGTTTACTTTAATAGGAGTAAAATGCATATATAAATATGATAATTTTCGATTTCCATAAATTCTCTGCATTTTCGAAAATTGAAAAAGTTCATTTCTGTATAATCGAGTCAGTTTTCAATTTTGATCAAATTTGAGATTTGTTTTACAAAAATGTGTGAAAAAGATTTTCTTAGAAATGGCTTCAAGTTTTTTTCGCGCTTTTGCTACGGAGAGAGCATAATGCACTAAAGCATTTGCTTAAAACTTTTGATTTTTCAAATAGTACACATAGTATTTACTTGGTTAGAATATCTCACACGTCATTAATATTTTCATTACAGGTCTATTTTACATTGTAATACATTTGTGAAGACACACGATTCTTCAATGACGTTTCTTGAAATCTCAGAAGTTTTGTAAATTAGCTCAAATCGTGCATGTTAAGAAACGCTCATTATCTTAAAAACTACATTTGCGCATTGTTTTCATATAAATTCCATATGAAAAGTGGTTTTACTCTTTTACGATATTATGAGAGCCTAACTTTAACTAAATTAAGCTCGATCATGATTTTTTTTAAACGAAAGAAACTGTTGAGTATTTCACAAAACTAAGACAAAGAAAAGTTAAGATTGCTACTCATCCACTTGTTTTAACTAGTTTTGTACCTGGATGATAATGTTTTATTCTCTTTGAGGGTTCTTGCACTGCTAATAATCCATGGTTAATAATGAACCTAATTTTCAAACCTCCTTTAAAATATTTTTCGCTCTTCAATATTGCCAAAGGAGACTTCTTAACGTAGCATTTATATTCATCGAACACGATGAAGCATCAGTGCTTGACATAGAAAATTAGGGAAAGAATTCGCGAAATTAAAAGCGCGCAAAGTTAAATTTTAATGCTTTAAATAAAAGAGTTCGTACAATTATTTTTCTAATACACAGAATGATTCAAAATCTTATTCAGATCCACTCAGTTCTGTTATTGACAATGAAAAAACTAGAATTCTACTAAAAAATTAGAATTCACGATCGTTTTGAAATTATCAAAGGAAGTTTTTTTGGCAATATGAATAATCCCATTGTTGTTGGTCAGATTGATTTCCTAATTTACTATATTGACAAAGCAATCTGTCGCTGCGGCCATCTCACTTTTGTTAGTGGAGTTCTCATGCCTCCCTTTATGCCGTCTTTTTTTGAAGTGCCATTCATATGCAGTGGCATCACATCAGAAGTTTAACATTTGCATAAATTGTGCTACCACACATTTTTTTGTATCATTTCAGTAATCAATTTGCAAAAATTGGAAAATGTTTATAATACCTTAAATCAAAATCAAATGTCGATCTTCTTGCTTATCGTTAGGAGAAACTTTTATGAAGTGATTAATATTAATCATTAGTGTCACATGTAGGTTACTCAAAACTATGAAATATATTTATGAAAAATTATATTCCACCTTTCAAGTATGTTCTGGAGTCTAATTCATTGTGTAATATTAATATACTTATTTGAAGAAATGTGAATAAATAACATATAATTTGGAACCTCTGTCACTTAAAATATATCCTCTAAATTTTCTTAATGTACATATGATATTTTCATAGTGAGTTTTGTAAGAATAATCAACAACAAATTACAAAAATTCATCTTCAGTGTTAGAAATTATTATACTTTACTAATATAATATCATGGTCAATATTTCTAAAAGTATTGGTTATAATTAGTTTGTTAAACAAGAAATAGTTTGAAATATTCAAATAGATTCTGTACATAGTACTTCTTTAAATTACTAATTACTAAATCAAAATAAAATTCTTACAAATGTTTGACAAGAAATTCAAAACAACACACTGAATTTGGAAATTAAATTAATATTGAAGTAGCTCAAGGGTGGTCAAAGGTGCAGGTCACACTTTCAGATGTTGTGGCCAGATGACTGGAGTATTATTTGTACAAACAAAAGGTTTTGTGGTCTGGTTGATTAACTTGACGTGCTTTAATATCACTGTCAGTGACAAAAATATATATATATACTATATATATATATATATATATATATATTATATATATTATATATATATATATAAATTTATATATATATATATATATATAGTACTCATGTTTGTAGTTTCCTGTATTATCCGTCATCTCTCATTATTTGTTTCTGACTTGTACACTTTATTAAGTCATATACCTGGGGTTACATTACACTTTTACATACAAGGTAAATATATTCGCGTATAATAGTTTGAATTTTGAAAGACAAATCCAAACACAATCACAGATGGTTTAATGTTAGGTTCAAAGGCATATTGAAATTCAATCATAGTATGTTTTTTTAATAACCTATTTCTAAGGTATTCAGATATTAATATTCTACTTAAAATTTTGAAATTAGTATAATAATAATAATATTAATAATAATAATAATAATAATAATAATAATAATAATAATAATAATAATAATAATAGAGATAATAATTAAAAAAGTAATTACAATAATAGTATTATTTTTTTTTTAATACCTAAGTAATTTAGCAATCAATATCTTATAGCCATAACATATTTTTGTTAAATTTAAATAGTCCCAACTTTTTTTGACATGAGAGATAGATTTTTCTCTTAAATATTGCTAATTAAAAAGATGTAATGAAGGGTTATTTTCACATTCATATTTTCAGTTGCTAAATGTGGAATACACATATGCCTCAATATTTTTCATAATCCCTTCTTTAATAATTCACTTTCTAATGCTTCTAACATTTGTAATATTGCAGCATTTAGTTATAATATTATGTTTTATAAATATCATGAATTTCTGTTTACTAAGAAACTAAACAAATGATGCTAATAATAATAATAATAATAATAATAATAATAATAATAATAATAATAATAATAATAATAATTAATGTTAGTAATTGCAATATAAATGAAAGAAAATACTTTTTTAAAGGTGCTGAATAACTAGAATGCCTTTAATAAATATGTAATATATATTAGAAATATTTGCTTTTGTAAATGTAAAGATATTGATTAATAACTCTAGGGAAGATGTTATGCTCATTTATCATTCTAGTATAGTTATCTCCTATAATGTAGTGTATTGAGATGTCTCGACAAAACCTCATAAATATGATAAAAATATTTTGCATTATAGCATATTGCATTTAGCAATTATAAAATCTTCTAATTTAGAAGAGATAAGTATAGGAAATCTAATCTAATAAAATTGCACATTCACATGTTCTGTTTAGAAGCAAAATTTCTCATTGAAGTGGACTGTAACCCCAGTTGTTGGCTCATAAAAACAAAAATGTACCTTTGAACTAAACATTCCACTGTAAATGTTATATACAGAGTATTCTGAAGACATCTACCCATATGCAACATTTCACTTACCGGAGCAAGAAAACATGTCCTCAAATCCTCAGCTTCGCCAGTCATTTGGATATGAACCCCGAATTAGCGATGCTCCACAAATTAAGCAGGTAATTTTTCAAAGAATTATTTATATTCAGACAAAGGCTAATATATTACTTGAATTAATGTAGATGTTCCTGCAGAAACAATTCAATCTGAAAACCTATTCAAAGCAGAATTATTATCACGTATGAGGAAACTTAAAGATAGTCATTTGTCATTCTTTTGTTTTATCCACTTCAAGAGAAGAAATTGATGATGACTTTTAAATGCATGAGCCTTTTAATGTTTGTATTCATATTACATACAATTTGTTTCGAATTGAATGTAATGATTTTAGGTACTAATTTTAATTGAATATCATGATATTAAATGATGGATCATAGATTATCAAGAACTGGAGGAGTTTCCATATATACAAAGAGTAAGTCAGGATGCTCTTTAAGCACACATTGTTTAGAATATTGTACCAAAGCCTTTAAAATTCTATAATTTCATGTAAATTAAAAATGCAGATTTATGAGATCAACATGTTATCCGAATATTATTACAAATGATTTTTCAAGGCAAGCAATTTCATACACCTGCAACTTTATATTTTGATGCATAAATTCATAAATGAACAATGAAAACAAATCTTCCATCACTGAATCATGAGAAAATCAAGTAAATATACAAAACTCACTCAAAATTACATGCATCACAAATGTTCATCTGCACAAAAAACATCAAAATACCTCATTGAGAATCAAGCAGTAGGAGACACCAAATAGAAATGACTACTGAAAATTGGAGCAATTATTTTGGGAACTGTAAGACAGCAAGACATTTTAAAAAAGAATAACTAACATTAATAAAGAATTCGTTTTTATGTTCTTTATTTGGAAATCTTCAAGAAATTATCAACAGGGATCTATAAAAGATTTTACAGCTGTAACATTTGCAACATTACTCATACCTTGAAATAATAATCCAAATCAAGAAAATAATCTTTAATTGATCATGAAGAGTGAAGAAATTATATGAAAAGGCCCAGAATGTAAAGAAATAACTCAATTGTCGAATACAAATGTATTAGAAAAAATATTTCAAACCATTATATGATATGCTTTAATTTATTAATTCACAGCCATCTTTCTCTCAGACTCTGGTTGATGTCTAGAAATTGTATACAGGATATCAATATTCAGTTTCAATAAATTTCATCCACCTCAATTAATTATTTTGATGCTAGAGCTTCAGGTTCAATAATACTTCAAAGTAGTTTAAAAGTCTACTTACACAAGGAAATACTGTGTGAACTATTAGGAAAAAGTATGAACTAAAAAGATTACAAGTATATCTCACTCACTCACTGATTTAAAGCATTTCAACAAAACTCAATGATTTGGGGGGAAAAATGCTTCTTATTACCTCAAGAAAAAGATCACAAATTCAAGCAGAATCCAAAAATATTGAGTTCACCTACAATATCAATACATTCTAAAATATGTGAAATGTTTTAAAAACATGAGCCAATATCTAAAGAAGTGTATTATTGTAAATATACTTTCATGAAAGTAAACAAAGGATAATCCCAAAACGTATGATAACCAACAATTGAAAAATTATTTCTAGTAAGTATCTTTAGTTTTGAAATTTTATTCTCAATATTTTCAAACTGGCAATGATGATATGGTGAAAAGAAATGAGATGAAAGCAAAATTTAATCTCTTAAAATAAAATACAAATATTCAATACAGTTTCATAAATATCTTATAATGTGCGAGACACTTTACACAAATACAATATGATTTAGAATATATTGTAATAAGGAAATGGAAAGTATTGGAAATTAAAATTAAAAGTTACTGAATAATTACTAAGTCTATAACAGTAGCCAGTAAATGATTAGTATTATTTTTTTAGTAACTAATGTTAGGTACTTTACTGTTTCTCTGCATTGCAGTGAATATCATTTTTGTTGTCTGTAATAAATATTATAATTGCAATTAAATAATGTTTTATTGTTAAGATGATTTCTTGAAATGAACAGAAAAAGATAAATATATCTAATTTTTTAAACTTCTTTTTTTTGCATTTTTTTGGTCCAAAAAAAAATTTCATATATTTCCAAATACAATTCCAAATTTAATTATAATTTATTGAATACAATTCTGTATAGGTATAGTTCACAAAAAAATAGAAATAAAATTTAAATTTGAAAACTTCTATGAGTTTATATGAAATAAGTACTCTAAACAATTTGATAAATAAAAGATTTTCAATTAATGCATAAATGAAATTGTTTTTGTTATAATAAAGTTCTGTACTTTACATCTAAAAGTTGGAGAGACACTTTACATCTAATAGATGAAGTTGTATTTCTAATTATTTTAAAAAAATTTTACATTTTTATTATTGATTAATTTTCTAAAGTTAACAGACTTGTAATTTACATTTTAAATCTTTATGCTGATTCTATTTTATAGTTATTGTAAAACATGTACTAGTATTCTGTTATTTGTATTCAGTAAACTTCAGCTGCAGATGTATTTGATTTTACTATCATTTCATCTCAATATCATGTCATTGTCTACCATACAGGGTGAAATAGATCATTACTCCAAAGTTCGGCATAGACAACGCCGAAAATCAAAATCTTTCAAGTCAGAAAGTGAAGAATACGATACACTGGGTTCTGACAGTGATACTGAACAAGGAACTTCCAGTCGTACTGAATCATCTAACCATCTTGATGATCCTGGTTCAGGACCAGGTCCTGGTTTGGGTCCTGGTACTAGCAGAGCAGGCGCTGGCATTCACAAACCAGTGCACCACAGTAAGTTAGTATTCCCCTCCAGCTATCTCTTAGAAATGCTTTGTGCAAATATATTGACTCATTCTAAATGTTATATTATAATCTTAATAAAATTATATTAATTTTTTTATACAAATAAACTGCAACGAAACATGTTCTATGCCAGTTCAATAATATTTGTTTCTATATAATCAGTATCTTACTTGCATTTAAGACAACATATTGTAAATTGTGATTAATGTTACACTACAGACAAAGTACATTAGGAAATGGTAGAGTTCAGAACTGAACTTTACTATTTACACATAAGATTACAATAATTATCATTTAATTAATATTAAATCTGAATTATTCAAATGTACGTTGTTTTTATTCAAGCTGGATCATAATATATTTCTGATATCCTGTCAACAACTTACTACTTATTAAAAGATGAGGTTTTCCATTTGTGATTATTGTTTACAATAATGTTTAGCTATAAGATTTTCTTGTTAGCTGTTATGTTTGCTCTATAAGAAAAAATATTGTTCCTTTTTATGAAATCTTATCTCTACATTCGGTTATTTATTTATTTTAATTTTTTTATTACAAACAATTGCTATCTTATAACTAGAGAAATATTTTCATGCTTATCAGAATTACATCTTACTTCCATTGTAAACTCCTTATTTCCTTTAATAATTCCAAAAATGATCCTTTTTTTTTATTTTGTAATACAATGAAAACCCTTGTGTGTCTCAGAACATTTCTACTCATAATATCATTTCACAAGAAAACATTCCCAGGTGGCTCTATTTTTGCTTCATTTTTAATGTGTTGAAAGGGTTGAAGAAATAAGTCTCACGTGATTTTTTCTTCTGTAGACAAATGCTTTAAAGGAGTAAAATTGCCCTCCAAAACTGGTAGAATAAAGAGGTGACTGTTTTGCATAGCAAAATGCAATTTTTTCCAGAAAAAAGTAATTTCAAAATTTGTGGCCAAGACATATTACTACAAATTTATTTTCTCTTCATTATTAGGAGTAAATTACTTACCAATATGAATTCAGATTTCAAACACTCTCTCCAAGGCAGTGTTTGCCAATTCATTGTTCTGTGCCGACACAGAAACCTGCTCTCTTGCTCTGAGCCAAGCAAAGTATGTGCCTGAAGCGATTGTGGGTCCACAGTGTTCTAATGATGATACAGAAGTGTGGGGGAGGGGGAAGGGGGGGAAGGTTCGATTGGAAAATTGATAATAATGTTTATTAAATGGTAATTATTATTTAGAATATTTATGATTCAATAACAATATGAGGAATTATATAATAGAGCATACATTATTACATAACTCAAAGCAATACGACTCTTCATGATAACCAGTACTGTAATTTCACTTCATTATTCTATTAGATAACTTTTTGGAAAAGCCAGTTTTAACATTTTAGGACAATAATATTTTATACAGTAGTATATAATATAATGAATTATTTCGTTCTGAAACAAAATTTAATGTTAACAAATAGATAACTAATAGGTACCCGGTGGAGGCTACGAGAGAGAATTTGGACTACAGGCTTGATATTTTTTGATGTACAGTTTTGTTTTAGAATGTTGTAAATCCTCGTGACTTTTAATATCATTTCCATAATCTTCAATCTTCAAATTACTGTACTCATCTCATGATTGCGGGGTATCTGTCAATTCATAGAATTTATTTTTACCTTGCAGGTTTCTCTGGGCCGAAAGCTACCTAATGAATTTGTAGGTCGTATTTTTAACATATTGCAGTCCATGCAAACACACTAAACACTTCACCATTGTTCAAGTATCTGCAAAAGAAAACCTTTTTTCCAAAACCGAAAGAAAATTAACAGGTGTAGATGATCTCCCCTCATTTTCCCTGAAACATCGGCAAAGACCCACTGGTTTTCGCTCACAGCGACCGCCTCCCTCCCCCTTTGTTCACACTGCTTTCTCCGTGTCCCTGCTCTCGGAGGGGAATTCGGCTCTGACGTCATTTCTCCTTCAGTTAGCAAACGCTGCTCTAAGGTATCCTAATTATGAGGAAGATAAGGGGGGAAATCTTATCTTTGAAACAAATTCGTCGTTTTACTCACAATTCTTGAAACGCGTTTTGGTAGGGTGACTGGAACCATTCAATTTCAGTAATTTTCTCCAAGAATTGTGCTTTTAGATAATAATTCCTAATACAAATATTGCAGTAAACATTCGTACCAAAAATTGCAATAATTATCTTGGAAAAAAGGTAATTTTCGAAATATCTGTAAGGAACACAATTTGGCTGTCCGGGAGATGCGGTTCTTAGGCAGAGGTGCCAATGTTTTGGCCGCCATTCTGCGGCTTCCTCAAGGTATTTCGCCCTGAGGAAGGTTGCAGAATGGCGGCCAAAACGAGAGGTATCTGTGCCTAGGGCACGCGCGTTGCGGTTGTTGAGTCATAAGTATACATGAATGGTCTTTAGAGATTATTATTGAATGATAGGTCTTTTCCCATGATGAAAGTCTTTTCATCATGGTATTTTCGAATCACCTGAGGTCGGCGGAAGATTTTCTCCTCCACGTATCTCCACAGCGGGCCACCGCTCCAGCCGGTAGAAGCTCTAAGCTCCCGAATTGTGTGATAGTGTAGTGCATGTAAGCGTGTGTGCATGTGTATGTGTTTGTGTGTGTTTATGAATGTGTGATGAGATAATGGACGCTCGTGTGTGTGTGTGATAGGCAAACAACGTATTGTGTGTGATTGACAATAGACAAAGGACTAGCAAGAAAAAGATCGCGGGCAGTCTGTGAGACTTTTGATAGGATAATTCCCCAACATTTCCCTGGAATTGATCGTCGATATTAGTTCTAAAAATTAACCTTTAAAAAAAGGCATATACAGTTGTTTGAAAACGATTAATTTTCGCGCCAATTTTTTTTCGAAGTTAATACAATTTATAAAAAAACATTTTCTTAAAAACGGTTCTTTTTTTACACTTGTAGGGTAAAGAATGCTTAGAAAGTGATGCAGGTTTCATTTTCGTTGAACACTCTGAATTTTTGAAAATTGAAAATGTTTTAAATTATGCGAGAAATTATGTGATGTTTTAGCATCACTGGTTTTCTTAATGAAATATGTTCTGTAAATTATCTCTTTAAAGAAGATCTATTACAAAAGTTTCGAATATATGAGTAGTTTTCTCGTAATTTTGCAAGAAATCGGGCAATTTAAAACATTATTTTCTCTAAAACGGCTTTAATTTTTTTCTCGAATAAAGTACGCTTACAAAAATTTCGCAGAATCCATTTTTGGTGAAATCTGTATTATTCCAAATTGCACACATTTAACATTACAAAACTACAATATTGATTATAGAGATTTTTACTGCGTCATCTTGACTTCTTCATAACTGTTTCAATGCAATTAAAGATAAGTGGAAACCCATGCAAATCGCACAGGGAGTTTAAAGCCGAATTCAATTTTTCTTGCCGTAATATGTATTTTACGGCACATTCATCTATTCAGACAGGACAAGAAATGAATTCAGCCTACAGTACCGACGGCATATAAGCGACTCAGACAATTCTCTCGTCACGTGCTGGGGCACGTCATGTGATCTTGCGAGGATTTGTTTACATTCTTATAGCTAGTGTTGAGCGTTGCTGCTTCTCTGACTCGCATCGCGGAGGCGATAATGTTCGGCTTTAGCGAAAGTTATGAATAATGTAGTTATGTTTTGCGATTTAATTAATCTGTGATGTAGGTGGTGCCAGGTGCGAAGTAATGTGTGGCAAAAGCGTACTGAACTGTTAGAATCGCTTAAACGCTGCCGGTACTGTAGTATATCGCTGGCGGCGTTACGCCTAACCGCCCAAATCCATCCTGCTCCTTTCCATTCTCTGCCATGTTCACTACAATCACCATTATTCTCATTCTGAATTTTAATATCTATTCAGAACTGTAGTGGAAACATATTGAAAAACGCAAATTCGTCTTCAAACTGCTTTGAAATGCACAATCTAATACCGCGCACAAAAGATGCTCTGAGATTTCGCTTCCCTGGTACCACAACTGATCTTGCTTCCGTCTCTGCCAAGTTGTGCGGGATCAAAAAATAGTTTTATATGATTTATATTTATATAGCATATACAAACATACAAGTCATCGGTGACTTCCAGCTTTCAAGCAACCCCTTATTTGTTGAAATAGATTGTGTTTATTCGGAAAAGGGATATTCACGTAACACGTTTTTGAAATACTTAAATACTATACTGATCATCAAAACGAAAAGTGCTGATCCCGTGGCCGTGGTCGCTAAGGCAGCAGTGCCGTAGCGATCTCGGACCGAAGGATCATCCTCACAGTTACCATACCGTTACAAGCAAGGTATGTGGCCGTAATGACCTAGTAGTTGATGCGACCTTAAATAACAAAAAAAAGAGAGAAAAAGTAATGTTTATTTTTATAAATTACGTTTTGACTGTTCAATGGCTTGACTGCCTCGATGAGGAATCGAATCCAGATCTCCCGTTGTATGTATTCCCAGTTGCTCTAACCACTTGTTCTACCGAGATAATCACCTCTTCACATGGCCTTAAGAAAAAAAAAATCTCGTGGCTCATATATTATACATTTTACCATCTACCTACAGTTGAAACTTTAACAATTATGTGCGAATACGTTTCCCGTTTTGCAATTATCAAGTAACGTTGGAACCCTATAACTCAGGCCTGCACAACGCCTGCTCTCCCGACAAAACATGGACGAAGAGTGTTATTAGAGACAAGCGTACCCAAAAAAACGAACTCAAGATCCTGTCCTGTCCTGCTATCCCGAGCATTCTGCACTTAAGAGCCAACCATTTGCCCGCGAGAATGCCGAAAGTGCAAGTGGTGGGGAAAATACAGCTTTGTGGGAAGGGAAGTTGGAGCGGTCGACGCAGCGAGTAGATTGTTATTTTATAATGCCTGGGCATCCATACTGTGAAATTATTTGCCCACTTTTTAAATGGGCTGTCTACTGTATTTTTAGCTGCAAAGGCCAT